TGATAGAGTTCTTACATTTGACTGGCATTCATTTAAGAAAGTACAAGAGATAATTGAAGAAGCAGATAATGAATTACTTGAGAGTAATGATGAATTACTTAGTAATGATAATAAATTACTTGGGAATAATGATAAGATGGAAATATTTAAGAAAGAGTTTGAAAGTCCAATTCCTATTACTTATAATACTAAATTTACACAGTGAGTTATTATCAACAATGATAATGATCAATATACAATTCAAATATGCAATAATGCAGGAGTTCATTGTGTGGAGCAACTGTCTGATATATAGAAAATTGATTATTGGGCTGTAAAAGAAGTTGAAGATGATGTTTTAAAGTTAGGTATTTGTCTGCATCATCTCAACTATGATCAAAATACTGTACACAAACCTAAGTTTAAGTTGGTAATATACATAAAGGCATCATAATCAAGTGAAGAAAGCATTATTACCTCACATCCCTACTTATTTTGTTATAGATATAAATGCTTTTTAACAAGAGACAAAATATGCACATTACACACATAGAAAGTGTGTAAATGCATAATTCAAGCTCCATGTCATAGATTGTTTAATTGCCTAGCCCTTACAGAATGTGACAAGCTATCAATGAAACTGTATATCAATAATAATAATCCATATTTCATTTGCACAAACTGTTTTGTAATGCATAGAGGTCACTTGCACATTCAATTAGGAAAAGAAAAGTATTCAGTTTCATACTTAGAACAAGGACAACATTATGATAATACTACACTTACTTTAAAGATTTTAGTAAATGGATTAAACAGACTGCTGAATTTAAAAATAAAACTGCAAAAGTTAGTTTATTAAAAAAACTGGTCAAATTTCTTGATAACATTATTATAAACATATCTAAAATACAAGATGCTATCAATATATCTTCTACCGTCTCATCAACTTCCAGTATCTTTCTAATTAAAGTAATATTTATAATCAAAAAAATCAAAATTAATGAGGCAAGAATATTATCATTAAAAATCACCAAATGTATAGACTTCAGAAAAAAATTTGCCCACTTTATATTAAAAGAATGATCTGAGCTTAAGAAGAGATTGTAATCACTTAAAGAGCCAGAGTCATTAGAAAAATATTATAATGCCATGCTATCACCTCTCATTAATTTTTAATAGCTTAATTTCAGTTATAAAAGAGAAGAAGGTGCAATTATTAACTAGAAAGCGAAAAGAAAAAAACATGTTTCCACTGCAGTTGGATGAAAAAAAAATTAATATACCTTCTCTTTTTTTCTCTTCTGTAATATTTACTATCACCTATCACAATCATAAAATCTGGTTAATACATGTTCCTTATATCAATAATAAAAAATAATAGGATTTTTGTATAAGATTCTTTATGCGGTTCAAGTAGTACCATATGTTAGAGATCACGAAGTGTGTGTTCAAAAAAAAAGAATATCAACAATAAAACCTTGATTGAGACTTAATTTAAATTCAAATATATTAAATATTGCAGCTATAGACAATATTAATATAAAGAATGAAACCTTCAAATATGGTAATATTTTTTATGTAACTTGGGCTACTGTACATGTAACATTATGGATGATCTTTCAGTTTCAATGTTCAGAGCTTGTCAATTCAAGTAGAGAACCAATAGAAAATCAAAACCTTTTTGGCTTAAGTTCTATTATAAAAGAATGGTAAATAAAGATGGATACAGTATTTGATTAATTAATCAGTCTAGAACTAACATTTGATATTGAATATATTGATGCAGACATTAAGAAAAATATTAACTTAGCATTTTTATGGCACCTCCAAACATTGTGATTCTTGAACCAGGAGAGGCTCTGAATAAAAATAAATATGTTTATCAAACTGTTAACATGTTTTTAGAAGATTTTGGATACATGAAAAATGGTATCTTAAATCTAGTGTGTGATAAAGCAATCTATCATCACATAAAAGATTACAAGAATGATGAACAGATGGTATGCTGCATTCTAGGACAATAGTATTAAATAAGACAATGTGCAATACACTAATTGCTGCTTTTTTGGGATATAGGCTTTTTGAACTTGATACACAACTTGGTGTTAAGTTTTTTGATAAACTTGAGCAAGTTGCTGACTATCAGGCAACATTTCGAGTACTTGAACTCATTTGGATAGTGGTAGCCATTGTGATCCATTTATATATCAAAGAAATGAATATTTTTATTAATAACATTCCTAAAGAAAATAATAATTTTTTAAAAAGTGTGGTATAATTTTTATCGATGCACAAGATATTTAAAATTGCATAAGCTTGGCATTCACATGACAAACTTTGATTTGCAAATGTACAGCTTGATGGCATTTGTACCTTTATTTTCTATCATGGGAAAAAGAAGATATGCAGAGTCTATAGCATAATTTCTATCAGATCTTCAAAGTAAACTGCAATTTCTTTGAGATCTTCGATCAGTGCCTTCTATTAATTTAACACAAAAAAGACATTATTTTACTTTTAATGAGGCTTTAGAAATGTTCGGAGTTAAGTTCATAAAAGAAAATAGGACTGGCTAGACAATAAATCTAGAGAATCTGAGGCAAAATATTAAGATGGCACAAGCAGAATATGACTAAATAAATTTGTTGATTTCAGAGTTTACTGAAGATCAATTGTTGAATAGAACTTTACAATCTATTAAAAATTATCAAGAGGTTCTTTAAAGATTAATTGCTAAATTAAAAGTAGAATTTAGTAACCTACAACTCAAATTGTATAGCTTATTTATGAAAAGTACACAATTAACAAATAATGGTTACCAATGAATATTTGTTTGCTATGAGTTGGGAATAGAAAGAATGAATACTATTGTTGAATAGGATATTTATCATACTATTATACAAGTGAAAGTAGGACAAGGAAGATGGGATTTAATACCTATAAAGATTATAGAAAATAGAAAACGTGTAAGGGTGGAGACTGATCATATAGTAGGAAAAACAAGCAGCAGTTCTATACAGACTTTGGAATCACATAATAAGAAAGTTGGGAAAATTAATGTAGACTTAAAATTGATGCCATCACATGAAACCAGTTTATCTACAGAACTTCCATTCAAAATATCACATTCAATAAAATATATGATATACAAGTCCATCACTGTTTAAGAACAGATCCTAAACTAGCTTGAAGTATATAAAAACTTCATTGTATTATCTAAGGAAATCATTAATAGGCTAGTTAATGATCTATCATAATATACAGAATATTAGATATCAAAACAAATTTATGATAGATGGTATAATTGATACAAAAGAATAAAGAAGAATATATTTTTTTTTAAATATTCATAGCCAGGCTAGATCATCAGTTTATTAATCAAATGAAGACAAAGGTACATTTTCATTCGAGCAGCATAATATATACTATAGCTAAACTATTATTCTAATCTAACTAACTAATCATAAGCATAAAAGCCTCTAAGTTTGGACTTGGGGACAATATTTCACTCCGCAGTGTCTTTGGGTGAAGACCCTCCTAGTCCACTGCATCATTGCCAACAGGTTGTCACTGTCGTATGTCTGACCAAGCTGCTAGAATACAGGAAACTACAAAAGGATGGATTGAAAAACAAGGAGAGGGGGGATATCTAAAAATGTCTAAGCAGACTAACAAGAAAATGAAAATGTGAAATTGAGAAAAAAAAATATTTCCAGTTTCCTCCAAAGACCTGCTTCTCAAGACCTTTTCTCAATAAAAAATGCCTGATTGGGATATCCTTTCTTTTTCTAATCATCTGAGAAACTTATTCATTCTTGATCTTGATTTCCTTTTTATATACCGTCTGAGAAGACTTATCGCCTAGTGGGAGTCTTTACTTCCAGAACATACTTGGTCCCAACTTTTTTTGGGTAGTAATTTTTTATCCACCTGCGATGGAAGGGTGACTTATGATGGACCCCAGGTTCTTATGTGACCTAGTAGAAACTGGGTCATATTGTTTCAGTATGATATTTTCCAGCAGCCATGCCTAATTAAAGAAATTTTACTAATATACATCTTCCATTATCCAAAAGGCCAAATTCCCCAACAATCCTTTTGCCTTGTAATAGTGGGAGGGTTTGCAAAGTGGTGAGGATCCTCATCAATTGCAATATTCTTCAACAACTTCTGGGAAAATGCATTCTCAACTGTAACCAAAGAGTTGAAGCTTAGCATGGACTAGAGACCATTTGGTCTTATTGCCTAACCGGGATAAAAAAGAGATCTTGGTCTTGAACTTTGCCTGACCTGAATGATAGAAGAGAAAGACTCCAGCTTGAACAAATAGTAGCTTTTTTATCACCTGAGGACTTGTTGCTCATATCTTATTGGTCTCATAATACTTGATCTGTAGGTTAATCCAATTGGAGAAGTGGGACGGACACAGGGTACCAATCAACTCTTTCTATCACCAATGACGTCATCGGAACACGTAAGGTGACCAATAGAAGCTTGTTTACATTCAGTTACTAATATGTTTCATATCAACCAATCAGATACCAGGTGATGTTGAGCTACTAGAAATTTAGGATTAACTGAGATAGGTAAAATTCCTCAAGAAAACCATGAAAAATAATAGATACTTTAAGAGGGTACAAGACAGTATATAAGAAGGTGAATAATAAGCCTTCCCCTACCAACAAAACCTCTATTTCTTGTCACTTCTAGCTCTGTAAGGTGACACTCCACTTGTCAGTCCTTTTACTTCCTAGA